GCTGCTGCTGCTGCTGCTGCCGCCTCCGCTGAGGTAAGCAGGCACACGTGTGGGTGGCACACGTGCACCCTGCTCCCTTCGCTCCTGCTCCCCAACTGCCATATTGTTACACCTCTGTATGCCTGCACTGGAACCTACTTGCAGTGAATTAGGACACAGCATAATTTTATGCAGACTGCAAGTCTCGTTTCAGTGACCCTATAAATTTGTCTAGAACAAGAGTAAAGTATCTTGTTATATATAAAATTCAGATATGTTCAAAGTTTTGTGTTGTAACTGGAGACTAGCTACTTGTGCAGACTTTGAATACGCATCCAAATTTTTCAACTAGTGGCTGTATTTTCAACATTTTTATTTTGAAAGATTATCTGTTGGAGAGAGATTCCCTGTACTTAGTGAGGCATGCTATTCTTTCAAACTTACGAAAATTTTTATTTTTAAGGATGCCTATTGTGTATATGCAATTGTGGGCACACCCTGGGTGTCCTCTTCAATCAATTTTGCCATTGTAAAAGGTATTCATGGCAGGAACTGTTTCCTATTATGAGATACAGGGATACTTTCCAATGCATTGTTACATAGTTTGATGTGTCTAATGGAGCTGTGCTTTCCATCCATATCAGCTTGCCCTGCAGGATGTTTGGAGTGTGATAATGTCAGCCAGTGCCAAGTCTGTGATACCACCACATTTCTGAAGAACAACCTTTGTGTGTCTGAGTGTGGCCATGATTTCTATGGTAACAGCAGGACTAGAAAGTGTGAAGGTGAGTGTTTCTTATGATAAGGCTACCTACCTGACATTTGGTGACAGGTTTTTGGCTCTAGAGGTAACATTTGTTTAGAAGTACTTTGAAGATCAAGTTATACAGAATTTCCATGTTTAGGAATCAGCTGTTAAAAGGAATTGGAAGCTAGTCCTCCATACCATTTCTCATGGAAAAAAAACATGAATGGGCTTATAACTAAAGTTAACTAAGTGTATGTAAGCACCCCTCCCTTCAACTGCCTGCTTTCCTGCATCATCCATGCAATGAAAAAAACAACCTATGCAGGATAAAGCAATAATGCTTAGTATTTATAACATGCCAGTAAGAGAAAGTCAGTGGGTATTGTTGCATCTGTTTTATAGATAAGAAAGTAAAATGAGAAATGATCTGCTTGCTCAAGTCGCACAGACAGTGCCAGAGACTGGTTCTGAATTTGGATCACTCCTCCAGACCACACTTTCTTCCTGCAGTGAAGGGTCTGTGACACTTCAACCAGTTGAGCACAGTGGCAAACACCTATGGACCCTGCCACGCATTCAAATTAAGGCTGGACAAAAAACAGCTATAAAGTTGTTAAACATTTTCAAGAACTAACTTGGTAGCTGGCTGGCTGTCTTTATAGCTGGATGGGCATTTTTATGGCATGGTAATTACTTTGCACATGCAGCCAGTCTAAAATTTTTGCATGATTATCCAGTTAATTGCATAATTAATGTAACATATGGCAGGGGCTTAGAAAGACCAAGGAACTCTGAAAGCTAGGCTGTGATTGTATAGGGGTTGAATATCTGTATATTCATGCTTTTCTCCCTTATTTTTAGCCACCAAGCCTGCTTCTGTTCTCCTTTCGAAAGGTTCGTTCACAGTAGGGATTGGTGGGATAAAGCCACTTGACTTTTCTGTCATGACTGTGCATGATGTGGATAGCAAAGATGGAGAGTTTATATTCCATGTGGTCAGTGTTCCCACCAATGGCAGGCTAGTGATAATGGTTGACAAGAAGGAGATGCAGCTGAACAAGGGCGACCATTTCACCTGGGAGGATGTACAGGAGAAGAGAGTCCGCTTTGTGCACAGCAAAGAAAAATCCAGGTGACTGGGCACCTCTATTTTTATGTCTTTCTTTGAGAAGAGGGATATATCTTGAGGGCAAGTACTCAGTCTCCTAGAACTGTGCTGTAGCTTGTTGTTTCTGTTAGGGGCACTTTAGTATTTCCCTTCACTGTTAAAATTCCACCTAAACCAAAGCTGCAGTACCATGGTTTTAGACATTGCACAATATTTATTCTCTGTATTTATAATGAGAGAGAGGTACAATCTAGCTCCAGCTGAAGTTAGTGGGAGTTTGCTGTTGGATTCAGTAAGGTGTAGAGCAGGGCCAGTGCTTGAGGAACTATGGTGTTTGTGGTCATTTTGTTATTTTTAATGGTGACTCTGGCAAATATAGCTAATTCATTGATTACAAAGGAAGATATTGTATTACTTGCACATTTCTGCATCTCAGCATGCTCTGCATTCAACCATTGCTGGTTTAGGTTTTAACATAATCTATGTAGCATGTATGGTACACCTGATAGTACAAAATGAGTACCTGGGAATGCTTGTTTGCTAAACATATTTCATGAGAATGCAGATTTCTGAGTGCCAGCTGAACGTGCCAATGCAAGAGTGGAGATTTAGCCAAAAATATACTTCATATTCAATGCCACCATAAAAACAGAATAAGCTCCTCAACCTAGGCCAAAACAAATGGAGTTATTAAAGTTTTACACATGTATAAACTAAGAGTAAGCCCCTCGCTTTCAATAAAATCTTTATACTTTCATAGTGCTCTTTTTGGAAAGATCAGAAAACAAGTTTACAAAGCTTAGCTAATTCTGAATTAGAATGAGGCAGCAGTATGTTGTTTTCTGTAGAATCAGGGATATTTTTATGCCTGATCATGAAAAAGAAATGCCAGGATGTTGGCTTCAGAATTTCTAGTTGGGAGTGGTGGGATCAAATGTGCAGGGTTTTCAGAAGCTTCTTAGTGAATTGGGGGACTTTTGTAAATCCTACCCAGTATTCTTGAATAGGGAGTAGTTATATTGAGAGTCCGGGTTGAATAATTACTGTGAGTAATCATAGGCAAGAAGAAATGGGGTACATCAATCCATATTATGAATGGACTTCAGTAAAGATACTGTGAAAAACAAGATGTACTTAAATGTGAAAACATTTAACTCACCTACCACTAATTTACTTTCTCCTTTTTTAATGCTATATTTCTTCAAATACAGGATGAGATTCCCCCCCCCAGTTGTCATAGGGAAAAAAAGTCCCATGTCTTATAATCACATACAAGGAAAACTCACTAAATACATTATCTCTCATTAAACTGCTGCCAAAAGCAGCATGTGCTCAGCAATGGAAACCAACTATAATGTTGACTGAATGCAGCCAGCATTGAGCATGATTATAAAGCACATAGCCCACATTAGGCAGACATACTGATGGGAACCTACCACAAGAATTGGTCAATATAGCCTATCTGAATGAGACATATGGTAGTGCCCATTAAGTGCAGTCCTTCTCACTGCCAACTCTTTTGCAAGTCATCAGGAGCCATGACATTGCATACATTTTGACTTCCTCTTCACTCCTACACCTGAGCTGTGCCTTTCTTTCTCTTTTCCAATGATTCCTGCTTCTTCACCAGCATTAAATGCCTGACAAACATCACAAAACAGGGGCAAAACAGTTCACCTAGAATCTATCTGTAGCTCCTTCTCTCAGCCTGCCACATAAGATTAGTGTGGTCCCATTCTCCACACTGAGGTGACACCAGACTAGGTTGGCCTGAGCCTCATACGCATACAAATTTTTTGAGGATCCCAGGACTCATGGTGAGAACACCCAGTTCCAGTCGTGAGTGGGGGCTAATTAGTGCATGCATCCTTTGTGGGGTATCTGGAGTACAGACACATACTGAGCAGTGCTGAGCTGTGGGGTCACCATGGCTTGAAATGCTGGGCCCAACCCAATAAACTATGTGGTTAATCATGATCCTTTGGCTTTGGACTAATAATATCATGTGTAGTTGGTATGTAGGTCCCCAAGTGTTGCTCAAAAGCATGTTTATGGAGTATCTGTGCTAAAAGTTGCAGAAGTTTCAAAAAAAGGTAACATGCATCAATTCTGGATGAACTATGTGCATGGCTACTATATGCAAATTGCTACACCCATGTTTCATTTCAAAGTTGTTTTCAGATTTGCTTCTCACTTCCATGTGCTCAGGGAGGGCAGGGTCTGAGAGTAAGGAGAGGGGGAAAGGGTTGCTGAGGGGTAAGAGAACCACCTGACCCCCCAGATTTATTTTCCCTGCTGTAGCAGTGGTAGGGAGACAAATCCAAGGCAAACCTCCAGTAATTAGTTTCTATCCCTGGAAAATTATACCAAAATTTATAAATTTCCAATGTGTAGAATCGAATGGTTGGGAAGTCATCATATAATCAGGATCATCTTTTATTCGAGTAACAAAGGTATAAAAGTCTTAGTCTCTGAGTGTGATTCATTCATTTATGTTCTCTTTTGGGGGTATTTGTGGTACTTGTTTAGGAAAGGACAATTTTCCTTGAAGGTCAGTGATCAGCAGAACTTCTCTCAGCCGGAAGTGATCACCGTTCAAGCAATTTCAACACAGGTAAAGCCGAAGAACCCCCTGATTTGTATATATTTTTAAAAGAGAATCTCTGACTTCTTGCAGGAATATCAGATTAATCTAAGCAAAACCTAATCAACTCAAATTTCTTTAGGCCAAAGAAAATTTACTGTAAGTGCTCCTGGACAGATTCTTTTACGTTGAGTAGGGTGACTCAGAGGAATTACATCAATTACAGTTAGAGAAGAATTGGGCCCCATGTTGTAGTGCTGTGCACATTTAGGGTAGAGGAGCAGAGTGAAAGCTGATATTTGTGTTAGGATTCCTTCCTGTTTAAAATCCAAGATTTAGTTGACTTAGTTCTTCAGTCTTTTATTGCTTGTCAGGTGAGCCATCTCTATAATAGGTTCCTGTGCACTTGACACCTGCCTGGTAGACTCTCTATTCCAGGGCTGCCAATCCAGTACAGCAGCTGAGAACAAACTAAGCAAAAGAGCTTCTGAAATGCTTCTGTGTATCTATTTGTGTACCTCTTAAACCACTCACCTCTTTTATTCAAGTTGATCTGATCATCAGGTGTTTCCCTTGTATGTTGCTGTTACATCTGCACTGTGCTACTCAAGCAGCTCATTACATTCATTGCCTTACTGACTTAGCCAATGGCGCTCAATCTTCTAACCCTGTGAGCCAGATCCTGCAGGTGGGGTTGGTCCACAGGCCAGATCCAGTGTAGGGCTGGCATGCAAAAGCAATCTGGCATGCCAGCTTGATCCTGTGCATCAGCTCTGGCCATGGTCTGACTCCACATGCTGGCCCAGCCCTATACACCAGCTTCAGGCATGGTCTGATTCTCCTGATCCAGTGCATGGGGCCATATTATCTGCCCTGCAGGGCTCCCCACAGGTCTGGAAATTTTGGCAACAGGGTAGCAGTAGTAGCATTAATTGCCACAACTCTGGAAGGTCTTCCAGAGCCATTGCAATTAACATGGCCACTACTCCCTTGATACCAATTTTTTTGGACCCATGAGGAACCCTGAATGACATGGCTTTGGCCCATGGGCTGCAGGTCAAGCATCACTGGATTTAGCAAATGACAAATTCCTGTCCCAAAGAGTTTACTTTTTATACAAGGCAAGATATAAATGATGAGGCAAATAAGCATTGGGTGGTTGTGGGTGGGTAAGAAAGAGTTACAAAGCTAATTGAATGGTCTAGCACTGATTAAATATGTGTGCAGATTTTAGATAATCAGTAATCCCATCTCATCACTGTGTATCTGATTTGCATTTAAATAAGGGTAAGTCTGCGGTGACTGCATCTTATGTAGATATGCCTGAGCTAATTTAAAACTAGCCAGTTTGGACACTGATAGCAGCTTAATCATGGCAGCATGGAGCTGAGCTCAGGCAAACAACCAGCATATCCACCCAGCTTCTCAAGTAGGCTTTGCAGTCCATGTTAAGCTGTTTGCTACCACAGTTATGCTCCTAGATGTATCAGAACTATCTAGCTTAAGGCTACTTCAGGTATATTTATATGAATTGCAGTCATTGCTATATAGACATACCATAAGCCAAAAGGTGGCAAAATACGGTCTGCCAAAGGATCCAGATCCAACTCACCAGGGGATTTTTGGCCCCAGCTTTGCGCTGTCACCACTCCACAATCCTCATCCCGGGCCCAGCCTCGCCAGCCCATCCTGCTTCTGGATGTTGTGCTCTGCCTGCTCATGGTCCCATCCCATCCACCTGCCCTGTGGTGAACTATTGTGGGCTGGATCACTTCCTCCCCCTCACCCACAACAGCTCATCAAAACGCTGTAAGCCACTTACGGAGTTTTGATGAGCTGTTGTGGGTGAGGGGCAGGAAGTGATCCAGCCCATGATAGTTCACCAAAACTCCCTAAGTGGCCCTCCTGCCCAAATAATTGTCCACCCCTGCCTTAAGCGTATAGAAGTATGAAGGGACATTAACGTGGGGATGAGAATCATAGAGAAGTAGCACTGGAACGGACCTCCAGAGGTCATCTAGCCCAACCCCATTATACAAATGCAAAATCTAAACTCTTTGTAAAACTACTGGCACAACACAAGACATAACACCCTAACCTGCCACAGGTAAAACAGGGAAACTACAGCAGCCAATGTCCTGCTTCTATAAAAGGTTGGTAATATACATTGTATATATAATCAATTATTCACATTGTCACAGCAGTGTAAAATGTTCTTACCATTGGTCCTTCTGCTACTGACTTGCATCTGCCTTACTGGGCTGAATCATGATATATTGTTTAGTGTCTTGAGCCTTGAAATTGGAACTTTTGAATCAGAAATAGTCAAGTGCCGTGCTTAGCAGTGCTATGTTTGAGGTTTACTGTGGTGAAACTATAGCAAGCTGCAAGGCAGTTCCAAAGCACCCTGGGCTGCTAATTTTTTTTCACAACATATAGCATCGATGGCCTTTTAGCAATATTTTTAATGTTCCTAGAATGAAATCAATCCTCCACTTAG